CTTGGGGTGTCAACAGCCATCACATTCGCAAGAGGCACAGAATGGTTCAACACTGAGGAGGTTAAGAATATGGACTCACATTCTTTCATTCGAGGGTCATTCTTATATTAATTTGGGACAATCGGGGTAGTATCTATCCAAAGATCACATAATTTGTGAAGTGTTCTGACCTCTTAACACTCTCAGAAATAGATGTGTGTAACATTTATAATATTCTTTAAATAAAATCAGAGTAACTAGTTCTTGCAGAACTGCATTTTTAAAAAGCATTAACATTTTTAACTAATAAATTCACCTCAAGCTATAATTCTTAAATTTGTTGTAGTGAAACAGATCTCTCTCATACCAAGAGGTACTGACCTCAGAATTCTCTTTAAGGAATTTATTAACTCCACATCACTATTTATACAGCTATAGATCTTTTTTTATTCTGACAAAATCTATGCAGAATCTTAAGTCTCTTCCTTTTTTCTGTATTGCATTCCAGTTACATTTTTTCCCAAAAGATAATTTGCAGAGGTTTTATTGGTTTAATATTTGATATAGTCTCTTGGCTTCATTCCTTTATGAATCATTTCCTCTTCGTTTTATTCTTCCCTCAATGTTTTTTCCCGTACTTTTCTACAAAGTCCACACTTTGTTCTCCATTAAAAACACACTGTCTATAAACTCTTCCGAAGTGGTAATAAGAAACTGAGAACTGAAGTACTACCTTGGAAAATTGTATCTGAGTATAGTGCAATGAATAACTTACTGTTTCACACGAGACCACTTAAAAATGGTCATACACGTTACAAACGTGAGGCAGTATTCCATAAGCTGCTGCTGTGTGCTTTCATTCCTAGGCGTACACATTCTCAAAGACTCTCTCAAGCTAAAGGAGAACTATTTAGCTATTAAACCAGCATGTTCCTATCCCTTCCAATTTCACAGATTTAAGTTCACCAGAATTGCCACGATAATGTAATACAGATTTCACTAAATATCAGAACATTTCACAAGGACAATATTCCTCTCTGTGCATGAGTGCCCATTTTTCAACATTGCTTCCATGTGTCCAATTCAGTAGTGTGTCAGGTAACTAAAAAAACCTCATATATTGGCACCAAACTAACTCAAAAATAAAAACTGAAAATCCCAACCAGCCGTTTCCTGTTTCAGAACAGTTGTCCAAAACCTATTTCTCTTTTTAATTGTCCACAAATTAGAAACCGACATAGGTAAGTTTTCATCATGGTTTTTGACTGGCAAAATGTCTGTTATTTGCCAAAAGGTTTTTTATTCTTCAGAGAAAACAAATTTAGTGTCACTAAATACTATTCTAAACTAAGGAGTTGCAAAATTAGCTTAAGATATATATGGTTAGTACTAACGCGCATGACAGATAAAAATACAGTATGAAAATAAAATATGAAATACACTAAACCGTGTAGGATATTTTTAATTATAAGGACCAAAGTTACTGTTATCTTTAGAATAGAATCGACTATTTCAGTTGGAAGGAACCTACAATGATCATCAGTCCAACTGCCTGACCAATTCAGGGCTGACCAAAAATTAAAGCATGTTGTTAAGGGCACTGTACAAGCGCCTCAAACACTGACAGGCTTGGGGCATAAACCACCTCTCTAGGAAGCCTGTTCCAGTGTTTGACCACCCTCTCGGTAAAGAAATGCTTTCTAATGTCCAGTCTAAACCTCCCCGACTACTTAAAATTAATAAAACTGCTATCCACTAACTTGTTCTTTGATTTGAGTAACAGTAAACAACAAGGTAGACAATAACTTACATAAATTTATAGGTTGAAAAATATTTCATCCCTGGTATAGCAGACTATTTCAATCCTTTTTTTTTTCCCCTCCCAGAGGACAGTATCGTGAAACATAAAAGATGCAACAGAAATGGAAGTACAATGCTAAATAAACTCTTCACTACAAGCACATCTTCCTTTACATGTTCCCAATAGGTGGCAACAGAATACCAAAAATACAAAGTAGTTTATAATTGTTTCTTCATCCACAAAGTAATGGAAGCCCCGTTACAACTTCTACCAATGAACTTGCACCAGCAATTTTATTCAAATGAATCGCTGCATCTCAGCAACAGAAATTCCCAGGACAGTTAATGTCAAAAGCCAGAGAATTCACAGAACAGAAACAAAGCATTTATTAAAAAGCTAGTTGTTATGAAACAACTAACCAATGCCTTATACTCAGAGCTTATCTGAGGGAGTAAACTATTACAAGCATGAATTTACAGTAACAAAATGTTTCTGCACATTAAAGAAAAAAATGTTAAGGAAGAAAGAACATTTTAGACTAATTTTTTTGTTGTTGACATTCACACCTTGGTCTTTAGCAGTATTTATTTACAAGACTGAATAAAGGGCTGAGCGTTTTTAAACTAAGTTTTCAGCTGACAAACCCCAACTTTATCAGTAGGAGCAGGTCCATACTAACTCCCTGATTCTTTGTAAGAAATGATAGGAAATCAGAGTTCTTCTTTCCATGACAGTTACATGACTATTTTGTTTCTGTTCCGTGACAGTTACACAACTATACAAATCAAGTCTAAATAATGACTACTTACTTGCTTTCAAAACCAGCTAAGTCATTGTCCAAAGAAATTCTCTCTGTCGTAATTTCCACCTTTCTCACACTGCCAAAGAAGTCTGTTATCAGAACATTTTGCGGGTCTCGCTGAAAGAGATCAGTTCGGTGCCCAGGTGTGGAAACACACAAACTTTTTGGACAGACCTGAAACTGGAAACCGAGATGGACAATCATATCTTGTCCCTCATTCATCAATAGTCTCTACATACACCTTCCAAATAAAATCGCTATAAAAAGAAAGATAAATGCCACACATAACTTGCACTAATTTCAGTACAAGCTCCACAGCTGAAAAAAATGATTGAACAAAAACATTAAAAGGCATGAACATTTCTATTACGCATTTCACAATTATGCCGTTTGAGTTTAGAAATGCTTCTGTGAAAGCCAACCATCAATTACATCTAACTGATTAAACACACAAATGTATTTCTGAATATAGACGCTGCTACAACCTTCCAAAAAGCAGAAGTGGGTATAAATTCTTCGTATTTTCCAAAGGGAGGCAGGCAAGATTAAACAAGCCTTGATAAGTAGCTAATAGTAAAGGCTTCATAAAAAAGTAAAAATTTACATTTTGATTGAAAAGAAGAAATCTCTTATTTCTAGTTTATAGCCTGCAAATTAATGCAGAATTAGGATCTTCAAATATCAAAGGTGTTTTACGTACATTAAGTTCACAGAGACATCCTGTAAAACCTACAAATTAGCTATATACCTTATTATTTATTTTATCTATATATTTTGCCTACATATCAGATCCACTATATCCAGCACACATTGCAACACCTGGAAGACAAAAACAGCACTAACAAACTGTTTTCAATGGACTCAATTCTGTATAAAGGTACATTTGCAGAAAATAAGTAGACATAACAGTGGCAGATTTGTTGTGGCATTCAGAGTATCTGACTAGACAGCATGCCTATTAAATAACAAGATTGTTATGCACCCAGCAGATATTCAAGGCAAAACCAATGCATTTTGGACACAATGCCTTTTTGCACAAGTCCTACCACGCTCACCACAAAAGTCTCTAATATTTCCCATCTGGACAGATTCCTTATTCCAAGGGATCTTGTAATGCATATAATGTAACATAATAAATAATAATTGGCTTGTATTTTTATTAATAACGATACATAGCTTAAAGTGCCATGAAATGCAGCCCAAGGTCTCACTCTCCCTAGCCTCCCTGATGAGCTTGGAAAGCTGAGTTCATGTCTCAATCATTAGAAGGCACTTCACAAACCACCCTACTACACACAGGAGCTAAACACACATCCCTGCCAGACAGAGGCACTAGCTCTACAGTGCTCTGGACAGTTTCATGAGCAAAGGTTGCTGTCCATTCAACTGTCTCATGGGCAACCCACAGACCACCTAATAACAGCGAGTACTTGTATGTTCCAGCAACAAAGAACAATTAACAGAACAGATTAACGTACAGGACTATGAAGGATGCTCTCCACATGGGTGCTCATCTTCTCTAATCTTAATTTCTCCAAGTGATTTTAAAAAACATGTTCATCAGCCACTGGATCTCGAGCTCATATACCTAATTACATCATATGTCACTTCTTAGAAGGTTGCACTCTTAGGACAAAATCACAGGTCCTAATTAGCTCAATGCAGATGCAGCCTCAATTATCCCAGATAATGACTGAAAACCTGTGAGTTTCAGTCCATACTTGCCAGCAGAAATTCTGTGCTCAGCCTGACATAAAATGGATGGGCTTGTGTGGCTCCTTCTCTTAGGACAACAGAGCCCTACATTTAAAAAGTTTCCCAGAGAGGAAACAATGTACCTGGCGTTTCTTCATAGGGGACAGATTCTACCTCCACATTCCTCCCTCCTGCTCCATTACAGTTTTTCTTTAATACCTTGTCTTTTTTGTCTAAGCCTTTAAGCATATGGCATTAGGCTGCTGGTCCAGGGAGACATCAGCTCAACTTCACCTTTACCTCAACTGAAGCATACAAGCACACATATCCACTGAGCTGGTTTTTAATGATTCCCACACTCTCTTGTTCACAGAGTATCACACAGCTGCTGAAGAAGAGATGGGGCAGATCAAATCTTTCTGTTATCCTCCCTGTGAAGTGAAAATGAACTAGACTCATCAGCATCACGCTTCCCATACACAAAGCCACTTGTCAATGCACACAAACTCTCTCAAGTTTGTTTCACCAAAATGCAATCAATTTTCTTCAACTCTGCTCCAACTAAGGGCACAAACATAAAAACTAAGTCTCTGAAGTAAGCTATAAAAGCTAAGAATTTGTTTTAATCCTGCTATTTGATGCATACATCTATGCTGCAGTTATACCATTAAGCCTCTCTTCCAAGCTCTCAAGAGAGTATAAATGTTCCAAAACAACTCCATCAGCACTGAAAGTGGGAAATTGATACTGCAGCCAACTATTTCTAACCTGTCCCACAACAATTTACTACCGTAAGATGTTGAGATGAATCTTGAACAAAAATGTACAATGACACTTGAGAAGACTTCAGTATTAAAAATCTACCTATCCAGCACCAGTGTGAGAAAAAGACTGCAAAGCAGTTACACCACAGCAGACTAACACTAATAACTGAGGTCTTCTGACAAGAAAAGGCAAACGCTGGCTAACCGAAAGACATTTGTTCATGTCGATTTTTCCAGATTTTTTAAAATAAGATACTATTCAAATAAAGCTAAACAATTCCCCAAAATGGGAATTTTGTTATCTTGACTTTTCTTAAGAACATTTTTAGCTATTTTATGACAAATGAGATCTCATTTAGAAATTTATTTGCATCTTATTTTAAAAGTTCAAATGTGTGACATTTCAATTTAGTCTTTACTTTTTTCGAATTGTGATCATACTGCAAGTCAGTCATTTGCACAGCATTATGCTATCCCTTAGCAACACAGATGGAGCAGGTGGGGAGTAGGTGGAGTGGATTATGAAAAAAGATGTCTCATTCTTTGAAAATCCAAATCTTAGGTGAATGTGAAGAGAAGCTGTTTTAAGAGTGGTTGGAAAAAAGTAAAGAGGTGACGGGATAGAAGCGGCGTAACAAATACACAGTACTTCTGAAAGAGCAGATATTTGACATATCAGGCGATCAAACAACTAAACATTAGCTAATAATTTTAAAGCTAGTTAGTGAGCCACTTATGTTGTTATCCTGAGTTTGGAAAGCATTAATTTAAAAAAAAAAATCAGACTTGGATAAGCAGTAGGTCTTTGTTCTTAAACGAGCACAACACTAACAGTGCATTTCAGTGCCAAAGTATCCCCTGTAACTGTTGGCAAATAAATGGGCTTATAACCTTACCATGGACTAACCATATGTCACTTTGGAACTCTTAGATGAAGGCCTGAAAAGCACCGACTTGAAATAAGAGGTTACGTTTGCTGAAATACGTGCTTATGATGACTCAGTACATGATCATCACAAATCGTGATATATTTGGATCCATTCTCTTCCCTTCCCAAAGCAACAATAAGCAGATCAATGTATAATAAGATGACTTACATGATGTAAGGAATTTACCAGTATGGGATACTTCCCACAGCTCTTCCTGAGTATTTGGCATATAAGCAAAAACAAAAATGCAAGGGAGAATGTTTAGATATCTTCTGCAAAGAGCTCAAAAAGTAAACTACTTGGCCAGCTAACAGGCTTTCTGTACTTTTCACAACAACTGGATTAATATCTAACTGGCTAGACTAGTTATACCACTTCCCAGATGGTGTCTTACACATTAGAAACCACAGTTTATTTTCTAGAGGACAACACTTAATCAATAAAGGACTTGCATATTCTTCTTTAACAAGATTTATTTTAAAGTTATCTGCATCCCATGATCAAAAGGTATTAAATTACAGGACAGAATTTCATTCCCATGATAGTAAAACAATCTTGAATCTTAGTCAGTGACTCAATCCTGTATCAACATAAAATCTGTCAACTGTGGGCTGTTTAGAGTGAATTCTACTACACATCTAGCAGCCAGGCTAACACCATCCTTTGTAGACAGAGGGTGGCATAAAACTTTTGAGCAGCTGCTCCTTTTACAGAAATGAATCAAAGACAACGTGTTTTGTAAGTGGTGGCTCTTAGATCACTGACACAGCACGTCAGGATTTACAGCTACAAGGCACCAAAGCATAATGTATTACTACAATAAAACTAGTACTGGAACAGGTATAAAGGGCTAACAGAGTAAATAAAATATGGTTACTTTTTACGTCATCTCACCAGTGTATACATCTAACTGCTATTGTGGCATTTTCATAAATTTTGTCATAGGTTATCTAGTTGGGGTTTTTTGTCCTCCTGCCTCACATCTGAAAGCTACAATTAATATTTACCTAAGATATAATTAACTCCAAACAGTGATAGATTTGGACATATCTTGCTCTGGAATCTAAGCAGATATACAGAGAAGTTAGTCTCTGCAGGCATTTGTGAGTGCACGGTTAGAATTTTAACTTTTTAATCACCTTTGCAAAACAACACCAATGGCTGCCTTTCCACATCTGCAAAGTGTCTGCTATCCATTAAGCTGATTTGAGAAGCTTCCTACTATCATTTTTCATGTGCAAATACTTCATTCTATTGAAAAGAATATTTAATGAATACTTCATTTATTTTTCAACGAATAAAAAAAAAATCTGGCTAATTCTGGTTCATTTTTTCTGTAGCCAGCAAACCACTTTCCCACTGAGGACAATACTTCAAGTGTTACACTACGACTACATTTAATAATGGCAAAAAGACACTCCTCCCAAACTCGCTTCCGAGAGAAACAGCAGGAGAACAAAAAGCATTTGGAGAACCCTACGGACAAAATACATTAGTTTTGAAACTGTTAAAGTCATTAGCATATTCATCAATGTTGAGTATTCTACTTACTAGGTCATTCATATTTGTCTGACTGGCTGGATGAATTTCTTCCAAGAACTCTAGCACATAGAATGTGTATCTGTCCATAAGATGAACGCCAATCCCAAGATCAGGTTGATGCTTAAAAACAACACACAGCAGTTATCGGGCATTTGCAGGAGAGAACTCAGTATTTAGGAAAGGCAAGAGAATGTAATAGCATGTTACACAAGCTAAGCGTAATTTTTTTTGTTCTTAGGCAAATTATGCAAAGAAAATGACTAGCCGTGAAGAAACATCTTGTTGACAAGCTGAATAATATAGTTTATCTTCGTTTTTCTAGACTATATCCTGGTAATCGCCATGTTTGCCAAAAAGCAGGAAACCCCTTCTTCTTAATGGTCCAGTACAGATTTGTGGGCTGCCCTGAGCTTCTTAGGACTTGGAAAACAGGGCTGGAAGAGACAGCTTATCTTACAGCACTGTGTGGATTCAGATAATCTTGACCTGCTGGTTTTGGTCTGGCTAAGATCTCTCTCCTATCACTCCTTCTGTAATTCAGCTAGGATATAATTACAGCAGGTGAAAGGTAGAGGGTAATTTTTTTGTATATCAAGTGTAAGAAGTCCTAGATTGAATATTCCCCAAACATATCTCTCGGTAGACTTCACATAAAATTTCTTCCTATCTTAGGCAATGCATAAATTGGCCAGCAAGCACAGAAATCCATTGTTCTTTGGGACAGCGCACAAAAACAAGCAGGAAAAGTACACTTACAAGTTTTGCCAAAACAAGTTTTTGCCACACTTTGTAACTAAATACCTTACACATTCAGCAATTAGAAGGGAAATTTTTAGTTAAAAGTCAATAGGACCTGTGCTTTTAACTCAGGTATTCTGAAAATTGTCTTCAGGATCACAAAAATCTACTTACTGATAAAGAATCTTCTCCAACTTGGCTGCTAGCCAAGGCCATTATATTAGGTGAATAAAATCGTTCATACATGGATGCTCCTTGACAAGTATCAATAATAAACAGCAATTCATTATACCTGAAAGAAATAAAATTCTCCTTACCCATCCTTCTTTAAATTGAAACAACATAGACATACTTTGCTTTTTAGTTACCAGGACAGCTGCTAGGAACCCAAAGAACAGAAGACTTCACACTGATTGATTGTAAGATGCAAGTTTAGTCAAAGCAGTACATTTGAGCAGCTGTAACCGCAGGAAGCTGAAAACAAAAATTAAATCTCTGCTTTCTGAATGTAAACTTTCATCAAATTTTATGGACAACGGATAGTATCACTGCTGAAGGTAAGCAAGGCCTACCGGTAAGACTTCAGGCATGTTTGTGAAATACAGTATTTAACCTCTAAATAATGCTTTTTTCTTACCTTCTTTTCTGCCACATTTGTTCAAAGGCATCAGCAAGTTCTACATTTGTGATTTCTTCAGAATCTTGAAATTTTAGGAAACCATTTCCACCATGGCCTGACAGAAAAATCAGAAGTTAAGCAAGTATGTAGGTTAAAGGAAGATACTCAGCCTGGTTGACCATCTTTCTAAACAAAGGCAAACACAATTCTCCTTCTCCAAACAGACTTCAGCAAAAGAAAATATTAGTACAGTAAGAACAGTACACATATATAATTTAAACTGGAAACTATACTTGCTAAGTACTGCCTTACAAGTTTTTTCTTAATTAGTATGACATGCTAAAAAAAGAAAAAAAATCCTCTTGTTGATGCTTTTGTTTGTTTGGACTCTTGATGGGTTTTCACACTTTCAAACAGGCCCATCCAACTGAACAACAAACATCAACAAATTGTATACATAAACCTGTAATTACCTGTCATATATATTAGAATATTGCTTCTGTCATCAGAAAGAAGACGTTTCGATCGCGGTGTGCTTGGTGGGATTCTTCCTGTTAATACACGCAAGAAATTTTCGACAGTAACCTATGAACAGAAGCATAAAGTAATTTTCTAAAGAGAAAAATACTGATTAACAACTCTAGGCTGGGTTACATAAATTAAATAATGGAACACTAAAATATGCAGTGTATCTAACCAGATGTAATACTGCATGGTATAAACTGCACAAACAGACATTTTCTGTTTAAGGTTTTACTGCAGGTTCACAGTCATGTGGTACCTTTTACTTTATCCCACTAACATCAGCCTGTTGCTTTATTATATCCAATAAGTCTACTGCCATAATAATTTCTAAATACATTTTCTTTGATCTGAAAACCTGTCAGGTTTATTCTGCCAAAGCTGCAGAATTTTTATACTCACAAAATGCTCCAACATTAGTATGTGTTACCATGGAAAAATAAAAGTTTAAATTCCCTCTGCAACTCAGGAAAGGAAAAACAAGACCAATTTTGGTTACATAAGTCTTGGAGTGATCAGGCAAGACCCATCTGGACAGTGACTGTAAAAACATCCTACAAAACACACTTCCTCTTCATGCAGACATACACAGCTCAAACGCTAGCCACAAATCCATACTCAGGAAAAAACATAATAAAAATAACAGATCTCTGTTTCAGTATTGTATCTTCACTTCTTTATACAGAGCTTCAGAGAAATAAAACATCTACTATATACTTAAATATGCTCCTATAAACCTTTAGTAATGATTACATAGCACTATTAAACCATGCAATTGATGTCCAATTTAAGATCAACTGATAAAGACACTGTCTGTTTGAAGGAATATTACACAAAAATGAAAAGGTGACAGAATGCAGATTTCTATATAGTAATTACTTTACAGTAATGATTAGGTTATGGCTTTTGTTTTATTTTGATAAAAGCATATGCTTCGGATTAGAAATTTCAGTAAGTCTCCCTAATAAACACTTCACTTGCACGCCAGAACTTTCACAGTGGTGTTAAGTGTTTGCAGGACCAGCCATTTCCAAAGAAGAGAAATTTCAGTAATATGTGTGTATTCCTAACACATACAAGGAGTTCCATATATTCTTTTAACTGTGGAGATTCCATTATTTAAAATAGCCAATACACAACATGTTTCTAGTGTAATAAATTTCAAATACAGAACCGAGTATCAAAGGGGAGAGGGGTGTGGGTTTTAAACCTATCAGTTGATAATAAAAGCCCAGCCCAAAACCAGTCATGTGAATAGAAAGACTTCCTCAGGCTTCACAGATGATGTATAAATCTTTAAACCAACACTAAAAACAACGACCCAATGATTTAATTAAAGTGCAGTCACCTCATAGCTTCTGTAATCCACTTCCACATCATCTCCATAGACATTTAGCTCCATGTTTTTATGACTAAACACAGTAGCTGGTTTGGGATTTCTGGGATTACATGCCATATCATCTGCTAGCATCAGGACAATGTGACTATGGAAAATAAGACAAAAACATTTCAGCCATTCTACTTTCACATAACAGTCAAACAAAAATTATAACAACACTGTCCCATGATTACAACAATAGCTTATAACATTAAGAAGATTCCTGGAATTGTAAGTGAAACTTTGCTTAGTTATACCCTATTTCCTTAGGTACATCCTCGCTATTATAAAGATACCACACATGGAAAGGCAGCTAGCTGTTATTTATCTACAGGATTAAGTTAGGCCAAAGATGAGCACAAGAGTAGCTGACATTAGCAACTTTATGACATAGACTTGCTTGGATCTAGGCTGGCAGAACTCTTTATAAAAAATCTGGAGATTTTTATGGGGCACTAAATCATTTCGTGCAGCTCCACGGAAGAAATACCAGCCTGTTTGCACCCTCTCAGATGAATTAAAAACATTGTGACAATTTTTAATTAAGACTGAGGAGCTTCTGAACATTTCTCAAACCACTACACTACATCTGCTACACTACTGTATGATTATCTGCATTAATGGAATTTTTCTGAAGAACACAAGTGGGCTGACACCAGACATTTTGCCTTCTTCATAGTACCAAGAAAAAAAACAACACAGCATTTCACAGTACCAAGAAAAAAAGGAACAGCACATTATAAAGCTGTTCCAAATTGCATGCAGCCACAGATCTATATTTCACCCGGTAGGGTCAGGTTTGGGTCAAAATATGAAATAACAAGTAGTCACTGGAGACTGTCAGCACTAGGAAGAATGTGCCAGAGATGTCTGGAAAAAGGTGAAGTCAGTTCTTTCCTTGGATAACCCTGTCTTGGATATAGTTTCTCCTGGACTGTGATCTTTGTTCTCCCAAACAATGCTTTCAAAAGGAAAGCTCTGTTTCCTGCAAATAATGCTGCTAATTCAGACTTTCAGAGACACAGTTATAAATTAAACTGTGTCCTGCTATTTAAACACCATTGCTGTGCTTGTCATCACTCACCTATATGTCTGCATGAGCATTTTAAGAGTAAAGTTATTCTTTATTAAGTGCTGATACACTCCACACTGGGGGGGGGGGGGGAAGAAAAAAAGAAAAAAAGAAAAAAAAAAAAAAAAGAAAAAAGAGAAAGAGAGAGAAATGCTGTCCAAAATAACATCAGCGTAAATCCTCAAAAATAATCAAAGTAAATTATTTCACTGGGAGTAAAATGCTGGCATAAATATGAAGCTGCAAGGACAGAAGCCAGAGGAGGACAACTACAGAAGAGAACTAAAGACTTTTTTTCTCCATACGTGCACAGCAGTACAAAACTATTTTTATAAGAGAGTATCATTAAAAGGGAATTAGGTGGAAGCAAGTGTTGAATATATGCCTTGCAGATGTACTGAGATAGTCAGGTGTACACCCATTTTTTGTATTACACTCAGAAGGGAATATTCCAGGCTAAGCCATCACTAGGCCTACAGTTTAGCACTGTATTTTTGCTAGCAATGTGTCCATTAAAAAAAAAGAATTAATAATCACACATCACTCAGTAAAAGGTTCTGCACAGTAGTAGTACAGACAGGGGAACACAAACATGCAAAGTTTGTATACTGTATGGCATTCTTAAAAGCGTATGAAATAACCCACAGTTAAACACAACCACTGTGTACACGTGGTTCATACATGCAGCAAAACAATCTAGGTGTTAACTTGCAGCTTAGCTGTTAAACCAAAGTAATTTAACCATATATTATATTAATACTATTTTCATGATGTAAAACTTATACTGCATAACGATTCCAGGAATCAAAAAGAATTTCTGGATACATTCTGGCTTTGTTTTATTTTAGCAAAACTTTTCTTTTATGAATTGGTGCATTGTGCCCACATGTCAATAAACCAGAGCAACTTATAGTTGCTCCACAAATCATTTTCCTAATGAGTTCTGTTGTTGGATGACAAATCTATTTAAACCACCAACTAGACACAGCTACATTCAAAATGAGGCTATGCACAAACCCTTCTTAAAAAAAAAAACACCCAAGAATCATGATAAATGTTTATTTTTAAGATGTGATTTGTTTTTTTAGTCTTACCAATATTTTGAATGAAGTTTTGCAGCAAAGAAAGAAAAACAGGTAGAGGAAGAAGTTTATCTAAGGGAGAAACCCACTCAAATCCATGTAAAAATTGCTGCAAATGGGAAAAAACAGGCGCATTCTCTCTCTCTCGGTATTCTCCAATGTATTATTCTTGACCTTACTCTAAAGCATTGCTGGCTTTTTGAGATTAATTTCCAGATCCTTGGGTATGGATAAGAAACGGATCAGGCAACTGAACATGAGAAATCTCCAGCCATGCTGTAGTTTTTGCAGTATTTCTAAAACTGTCACCTATTTTGACCTTAATGGTGAAGATGGATGGATGCAGAGAAGATTAAAGTTCTCAGGTAAGGGTAGCACTAGTGAAAAGAATTTCTAAGGTAGTGCCTAGGGCGCCTATGCTTCAAAGACTATACAGGAAAGAAGACAGATGCTCCTGAATGAGATGTACAAAAAAATAAAGCCATATTTCTGTGGCTTTCAGCCTGTAGTGCTTAGGCAGTACGTTCCCTTGGATTTATAGCCCCCAAATGCTTCCAAAAATTAGGTTTCAACACACCCTCTTTCAAAAACCGAGAAGTCACTCTTTTCTTTTTAAAAGTAAACATAGGAAACAGGATGATACTGCCACTGCATTCACAGTTGAGTGGAAGCTAACTGGGGACTCCAGATACTACAGTTTTGGACTTGGGACAAAAAAATGCCATACAAATTTAATCCAGCATAATATGCATTTTCCAATGATGGAGCAGGCCATACCTCTTTAGGCAGACGTGCTGGAGAAACTACCAGTCCTCTAAACTAAAATTAAAAACCAGAACCACCAGGATTTCCATAGGAGCCTATGGATACATATAGCCTATTATTCAATGGATGCTGGTGCCTAAAATTCGCTTCCAGAGTTCTGGTACAGATAAATTGCATTCCGAAACAGCTGGATGGAACTGTGCCAATACCCCTAGAACTTCCAGTAGGAACACAACTAAAAGACACTTCAGAACAGTTTGTTCACCTTCCTAATCCTGTTGTCAAAGAAGGGATATTATTTTAACCATTGTGCTATCGCCAGAGAAGCACAATTTGACGGACAAAGCTTCTGGTTTTTCTAAAAACATGCAAAACTTTTCAAGCCTACTTTCAATACGTAGGAGCTGCTTTGTTCAGGGCCTTTAGTTTAGAGACTCTCAGTGTAGTTGCAGATGTGGAAGTCTTACATTTTAGTACAGTTAGGGTTGCTAACATCTCCTCTCTGAAAGGAAATTAAAGTACAGCAAAAGCCGTATCTCAGAGTAGTATTGTCATTGCTGAATGCATTTATCAATTTTCACATTATGCTTTCACCAATTTACTAAGTGGTACATTTTAGTGCCCAGATAGCTCCTCATGTTTTTAATCTAATTAGCCTATTCCTACTGGAAGTTTTATTATATAACTTGTTGCTTTTCCTTTTGAACAATATTGCCACACTTTTCAATACGCTGATGTGATCACATCTTGCCTTTTTACTTTCATCCAGTTAAACTGGGAAGAGAAATATATTTTTATACTGCTTCAGACAACAAGAGAACTTTTAACAGCACATTTGCAAGGAATTGTATTCACCAAGATTCCCTCACCTATCAGGAATTCCCAGTCTCTTGACACTTCTGTATACTGAAAGAGTATTTGCCACATGACGATAATTAAACCAGAATCGAGACGTACACACCTTGAATTTTTAAGAAAAAAAAAAGCATATTAAATAGTGTAAAAGATACAAATTGACCTGGCACATTGCATCAGAAGACCGTGATTACAGGAGTATCAACAAACTAGTAGCAAATCAGAAAGAACACAGCAACACCAAGAAACTCGTGCTATAAGCTATATAAACCTTTGTTGTACCAAAGCAACAAATACTGAAAATAGAAGTTAAAAAACCATTTTCTTAACATACTGACTCATGAAAAAATTGTCATAAAGCCCAACTAAGTATAGAAAGTGACACTTCAGGGAATAATTCAGCAATAGTAAGTGGATAAGCTAAATTTTTTCATTTGCTTTCTCCATATCAAATGGAAGAAAAATCAAAGAAAGAGTTCTCATCTCAATAGCAAACCCATTTTGGGAGCATTCTTGCACAAAGACGTAAGTGAATTCATGCAGAAGCCACACACAAGGGAAAATGCACTTTCGCATTTAAGGAGTCAAATATAATAAAGTAAGAGCTAAGTGAGCTCTAACCAAAATCTGAATAAATTCTCAAAAATCTCAAAGGAGTTCAGGTCCTACTGTTCTAAGAGGTGAAGGGTTGGGGATCAGCCATTCCTGTACTTGACCTATTCCCTAGGTCAGATATTATTTAATCTGTCCTCAAAAACCTCAAACCAATGAGATTTCAAAAACCTTCAGAGGCAATCTGCTGTAGTTCCTTACTAGCCTTATCATTGTCGTCGTGTTTAACTTCAGTTCACTACTTTTGGTTTGTTCCACACCAAGGACAGCAATTCTCCTTTGGAGACAAATTTCCTTCCCTTTTACAAGTCTTTCAAACAGACAAAGGAAGCAGCATTTTAGAAGAGGTGACTTTAAAACCATAAGAATAGAGAAGCAGAAACAAGCATGTAATTTTTCAGCTTTAAATGTACAGCTCTAGTTTAAATAGAAACATCTTCAAGTTACACTATGTAACATCTTTTTCTCTAGCCTTTTCATAAAAAGAAATGAGTAGTAGCTTAAATAATAATAAAAATTCAGCCTGAAAGGATGCCCTTGTGTCTCGATCATCCCGTCAGTTAGGAATTTCAAAAAAGCCTACGGGAATCAGTCCATGAGAACATTTGCCTTTCAGCAAGATTGCAAGCTCTGAAAACTGTGGCCAATCTAGCTGTGGCATTTCAAGACATGATCATCTCCCCCTTTCCTCCATTACCTCCCTTACAACACAGCGGAAAATGTGTCTGTGCGTTAAATATAGCTATTCACACTGCAGCATATTAATTCAAATGACTGATGAGGTGGGATTGCAGTGTGATCCCAGGCTTGAAGTGCCTGACAGCAGTAAAACCCTCCCTATTTTACTGCTTAAAAAATTAGTAGCAATTGTTATAAAGCTTAATCATGAACTACTGAAAAAATATAACCAGCAGAGAATCTGTTGAGGATAGGAAGTATAGCTCCTTGGACTAATTTTCCACTTTCTTTGTGTCTTTTATGGGTACTAATAAAAGCACCTATTTGTTAATAGTAGTGAAGTAGTACTTGATGTTTTAATAGTTTCAAGTTTGTACATCGTAGAATATAGAAATTATTCCTTCTAATTCAATTAATTACTGTTAACTGCCCTTTTATATTGCTCAATTTTAGTATCTGGAAAACAAACAGCTGCCACTGAGTAATTACAATAGTGTTCTGAAACAACTTAGTCATTAAGACCTGAATTGTGATTAAGAACCAATTGTGTAGCATGATTCAAAGCTAATAAAAGATTCATGGCAAAGAAAAAAAAATAACTAGGATAAGAACAGTTGATCTAAACATTATGTTGCCTGAATTTATTTTATTCTAAGCCTGTTATCACAAGTTAACAGATTGAGTAAGAACAAAAATCAGAATAAATTGTACCTTTCCGGTCAGAGAGATATACTTCTCTGATATCAGGATTACACTTTTGTTCAACATGCAGTATGGTAATTTAACTGTTTTAATGCTGTCAGAACTTTTGTTTTATTAATCCTGCCATGTAGCTAGATGTTTTGAGTGCTTGAAATGCAGCCATACTGAAAAGAAAATTTTATTATGGTGTAATAAATTTGCAGGCACAATTTCAAATGTATTTCCAAGTCTTTATCTTTCCATTTCTTTCAACTGAACAGATTTCTTCTGTGACTGTTGCAATTACAGCTTCTGATGAAAAATTGTCAACTTTATTGGAAGAAAACAACCTGGATCACACTTACCAAAACTGCCCAGTTATTTGTGTGTCCACTTCTAAAGAACTGTTCTGCTTGATCCTGAAAGACGGAGAAAACACTACGATGTTTTTCAGCCATAAGAAAGAAATGACCGCTCATATTTTTGTTTTTTCCACAAAACAGTGTTCAATACATATGTTTACCACACCTTAACACTGAATAAACCTTACAAAAGCTTCAAAAGAGGTAGTTTTTCTCATTCCGTTTTGCACATTTCATGCAAGCTAATTGCTCCAAATCTTTCCCTGAAACTTACTAATTAACAAAGGAAAAAGAACTATTAGTCACTTTCAGCTTATTTAAAACAAAAGGCCACACATCTCTATTCCAAAGGACACTCCAAGAACAAAACAAAATTATTTATTGACCTACAGTTTCTTCCTTAATGAGAAAAAAGGCTTGAATTAATTTCTATTTTCATTGTTCCTCGCATCTTTTCAAGAGCAGGTAAGTGAATCTGCAATTTTAACCCATTTTAAATCCAACGTGGTTACATTTATCTTCCAAAACCAGGAACTATGACAACAACCACCTTCTTTATAATCTGTGTTATCCACAGTTCCCACCAGAAGTAAGATAAAGGAATCAGATACCAGGATTCGTCAATTCTTTTCATTGACTGCCCCTATGCCCAAGGTGACTGAAATTTGGGGGTGAAAATTGTGATACAGGAGCTTACTTTTCTGAAATTACTTAAATGCTTTTATATCTCAAGGGAAGTAAATGACGCTTTGCAGAAGAGAGGGCCCTTTTTCTTTAACAGATAGCGTAAATCAGTACACAGAAAGGGAGTAAGGCTTCCCAGACGTAAGGGAACAAGTCTGTCACAGGACAAGAATCCAGACTTGCTGATTCCTAATCAGACTCTGTCAACCCTCTGAGGGGTACTGGGCTGATGCCTGTGGTCTCACACAAAACACACAGTAACAGAAAAAGTGTTTGTTAAAATGTATGTAAAGCAGACTGTACTTCAAGTAACAAACAATTTGCAGCGTAATTAGTAATCCAAAGACTCTAAAAATATTTCTATTGGCTATTTTTGCCCTATTTGTAATTAATTTCAAGTATAACAATTTATTAATAAAGCAGAATTCAAATGCAAACAACGCTCCAGATGTAGTGTGGGCACTGTGCAAAAAGCATAATTACCAAAATACGAAATTACTCCCACTTGAAAAGATTTATTATCTCCTGTGTGTAAAAAGCCTCACACCTGCGAGAAGGGCACACGGCAATCAAGCCCAGCTGAGCCCGGGCAGTTCAAGTATAACAATTTATTAATAAAGCAGAATTCAAATGCAAACAACGCTCCAGATGTAGTGTGGGCACTGTGCAAAAAGCATAATTACCAAAATACGAAATTACTCCCACTTGAAAAGATTTATTATCTCCTGTGTGTAAAAAGCCTCACACCTGCGAGAAGGGCACACGGCAATCAAGCCCAGCTGAGCCCGGGCAGTTCGACCAACCCTGGTTTTTAACCGAAGAAACACATAACTTAGCCAGCAAACGTCCGGAAAAGGAACATAAAACACTGACTACTGAAAGTTACATTGCGTAGCCAAAGAGAAACCGCGTTTCAGAAACCTGCAAACAAATAAAAAAAGTTTTTTTTTGTTTTAACTTTAAACAGTTTAAACAAGTTACATGTGCCTGACGAGCCCCGCTGTTTCTGGGACGTGCTGCCTTACAGCCTACAAAACACTGAACCCCCGCAGCCGGTGGGCCGCCGCCAGC